GCTTGAGGTTGGTCTGCCTCTAACCTTGCTCAGTCTCTCAACAGGTATAAGCCTTCTCCATAGTGTAGCTCATAATGTGCAGCTAGCTTCCCACAGAATAAATAAGTGAGATTGCAAGATAGAAGTCAGCCATTTTTGTAACCTAATCTTTTTTTTTAGTGACTTTCAAACTTTTTGAATGCTAACCCACAATAAAATACAGATTGTATGATGCAATCCAGACTGACATATACATACATATATAATCTGAATAAATGCATAAAAATTAACAAGTTTCAAAAAACAATACTTTTATGTTACATGTAATGCTTGTGGCTATGTTTTATCTAGTTTTACTTTTTTTTGTGGGTTTTTTTTGTTTGTTTTGTGTTTTTTGTTTTTTTGTTAATCCTCATCCAAGAAATTTTTTCCATTTATTTTTAGAGAGATTGGAACGAAAAGAGAGACAGAAAAATATGTGTGAGAGATACACATCAATTGGTTGCCCTTAACCAGAATCAACCCACAACTCTTCAGTCCTCAGGCCAATGCTCTATCCACTGAGCTGAACCAGCTAGAGCTCTTGTTTTTTAAAATGCCAGTTATGACCCATTAAATTGTATTGACCTCTAATGGCCACATCCTATTTGACCATGACCTCGGAAATGCTTTTGCAACATTTATAATGTTTAATATCACCTAGAAACACAAAAGAAGTACTATCACCATTAAGCATACACTGACTGAAATAAAAAATAGTATACAGAGACCTAAAAGCAGACTAGACGATTGCAAGAACCAAGTCAAAGATTTGGAATACAAAGAAGCAAAAAAGACTCAATTGGAAAAGAAAAAAGAATCCAAAAAGTTGAAAATAGTGTAAGAAGCCTCTGGGACAACTTCAAGCGTACCAACATCAGAATTATGGGGTCCCAGAAGAGAGAGAGCTAGACATTGAAAACCTATCTGAAGAAATAATGACCGAAAACTTCCCCCACCTGGTAAAAGAAATAGACTTACAAGTACAGGAAGCACACACAACCCCAAACAAAAGGAATCCAAAGAGGACCACATCAAGACACATCATCATTTAAATGCCAAGAGCAAAAGACAAAGAATATTAAAAGCAGCAAGAGAAAAACAGTTACCTACAAGGGAGCACCCATACAACTGTCAGCTGATTTCTCAACAGAAACTATGCAGGCCAGATGGGAATAGCAAGAAATATTCCAAGTGATGAATAGCAAGAAACTACAACCAAGATTACTCTATCCAGCAAAGCTATCATTCAGAAATGAAGGTCAGATAAGGAGCTTCACAGGTAAGAAAAAGCTAAAGGAGTTCATCGCCATCAAATTAGAATTATATGAAATGCTGAAAGGTATTCTTTAAGAAGAGGAAGACATATCTATCTAATACATATCTATCAATAAGTGAATCTAAAAATCAAGTGAATAAAAAATCTGATGAACGAATAATCTGGTGAATATAATAGAATCAGGGGCACAGAAAGGGAGTGAACTGACAATCCTTACGGGTAAAGGGGTGCGGGGGTTCGGGAAGAGACTGGACTAAAACACCTATGGATGAGGACAGTGGGTGGGAGGTAAGGGCAGAGGGTGGGGTAGAAACCTGGTGGAGGGGAGCTATGTTGGGAAAAAGAGAGGAACAATTGTAATAATCTGAACAATAAAGATTTATTAAAAAAGAAAAAAGAAATGACAGCTCAATGCACCCTGAATCTGTGGACTTTGAAAACCTACCTCTTCAAACAGAGAGAAGAACTCAGGATGTTAAGATTAGGGATTTCTAGTGTTGACAAATGCAGTTATGGAGGACAGTTTAAGCAAGGATTTTGCAGAATTAACAGCGTTTGCTCTCACTGTGGGATCTGGGGATTTACAGTTAGCAACTTCCTTCCTGGGGGATATTTCACACCTTCTCTCCTCCCCCCTCCCCCAAACTGGTTGCTTTCTTTCCTCTTGGCTATTAGCCCCTGAGAGTGCATCCCATAATAATTTTCACAGCTAATAGAACCCAAACTGGAGACTTCCTGTCCAGTTAACAAAGCATTTCTCTGCCTTCGGGACACTCTTGCCACAAAACACTAAGAAAATATTTTATGCCTCCCCAAAGATTCACAGAGCATGTTTGCCTATGAGAGACTGAAAGGTCCCGCAGTAGAAAAACCTTTTTAAAAAAAATCTTAGGATTTTACAAATTGATTTGTCCACAGACACTTCCTCCCTGTTTTTCCTCTACCTGCCCTACGGCCACCCCTGGGAATAATTGTGGAGTAAATGAAATGGGTCTTTGTTTGAACCACCAGGTAACACATCTCAGACTCCAGGAACCCTCCCCCTTCTGTCCTGTCTGGTCCATCTTCCTGGACCCAGTGTCTTCAGTCCCAGGGAGAAGAGGACTGAGATGGAAAACAAAAGGTCTGGGTCAATGGGTTGCCCCATTAGAAGAATTGGCACAGTTCTCAGTACTTAGCCAAGAACTGATTCTAATTCAGGCATTGCAGTGAGTCCTTGGCGGGAGGGGGAGAGGGAGAGGGAGGGGGAGTGAGGAGGGATAGAGGTGGAGCCGAGACGCTAGGAATTCCCAGCCTTCTTATCAGAGAGCCACCATGTTCGTTCTTCTTTCTTTTCCAGCTGATGTCCATGTGACAAGAACAGAAATTCATACCTCACCCCACCCCCATAACATTCCCCAGGATTGTCCGCTTCCTAGCACCATCTCTGGAGGCAAAAAGTTCCTTCCACCTTCCACTGGAATTTTCACCACCTGCTCCCATCCTGTTCCCTCTCCCGCGATCACAAACACTTTAAGTCCCAATTAAGTAAAATTTCCCAGCTGGCCAAGGCAGTTTGGGCGCCCAGTGTGGCAGGGTCACAGGACAAACACCCTGTGCTGGGCCACGCTGAACAGGAGACTAGAGCCAAGGAGAAACGGTGTTGTTGCCCGAGGCTCCCACTCCCCGGAAGGAAGGCTGTGGAGGTATTGACTGGCCTGGAGGTGGTGGTGGCCACCTCCTCCACCAGGGCCCCCGGCCAGCAGCTTGGAGAAGAGGCGGCTGAGCCCGTTCACAGTGGTGACGACTGGCTCTGGGGACTGGCCTGGTTGCATGGGTCAGAGCCCAAAGGCCACCTGACTGATGTCCATGCTGCCACGGAGACCTGGGAGGCACACTGGCGACAAGCTCAGAGCTCTCCATCCAGTACCTCAGCCTCTGCAGGCAGCAGTCACAGAGCCGAGTTGGAAGCCCTGGGGGCTGGAAGGCTGCCCAGATGAGCACAGTGAGGTGCTGCCATTGAGGTGCAGAATGAGGAGGCCAAGAGGTTCTGGAAGGTGCCCTCCCCCACCAAGGCGGTCCTGCTGCAATCCAGGTAGAGCAGCAAACCAGACAGGCACCAGGAGCTGCCACCCAGGTTGGGCCTGGGGAGGATGTGCAGCCGCTGAAGGCATCTGCGGGCAGCTGGGGCCCGCCCAGCGGGTTGTCCTTAGCAGTAGGTGCTCCCTGGCACCACAGTTGGGGGGGAGAGGGGAGGGTGGTGTTTGCAGGAGTTGGAGGCCACTGCACGTGGGTCAGGTGACCCATCACTTTTGTCATCCTTTTCATTATACCCTGTTTCCCCGAAAATAAGACAGTGTCTTATATTAATTTTCACTCTCAAAGATGCACTAGGTCTTATTTTCAGGGAATGTCTTATTTTTCCATGAAGAAGAATATGGTACACATTTATTGTTAAATGAAAATAAAGGAAATTTATTACCTGTATATGGTACGGTAGTACGGTCGTTGTCAACACAAACCAGACAAACTGTGAATCCTACAGTATCAAGAATTTACTCATTTATTCAATGACAATCATGTCATCATCTTCTGGAACATCATCATAACAATCCAATTCCTGAATTTCCTGGTGAATTTCTTGTGACTCCATTTCTTTCAGAATCAGTGGACCAAATCTCTCATGTTTAGCCTGTGGTGGTGGGGGAGGGGGGCTTATTTTCAGGGGATGTCTTATATTTCACTCAGAAGGAAACCTGTAAGTAGGTCTTATTTTCGGAGGATGTCTTATTTTCGGGGAAACACGGTAGTAATAAGTAAGTCACCAGGTCCAGTCCACACTCCAGGGTTTGAAACCAGGAGATGGGATTCTTTGGGAACTTCTTACAAAGTCAAACTTAATTTGAAAATAATGTTTCTGTATAATAACATTGTATAGTATCTACAATGTTATACCATGTATAATAAATACCTATTGTACAATGATATACCATGTATAATATCTACAGTTAGAAGACGTCCCACTGTGGCGCCTGTGGGCTCTGGAAGAGCCGGGCTCTGGAAGAGCCGGGCTCTGTCTGCCCCGCCGCCCGAGCTCAAGTGCCGCAGCCGAGGCTCGTGAGCAGCCGCTGGGTTCGTGGGGACGCCCCGCTTTTCCAGCCTCTGCCCGGGGCTGCCCTGCCCCGGGGGCTGCCCTGCCCCGGGGGCTGCCCTGCCCCGGGGGCTGCCCTGCCCCGGGGGCTGCCCTGCCCCGGGGGCTGCCCTGCCGGGCGGCTGCGGAGGCCTCGGTGCCCGCCGCGGGGGCCCCAGGGCTGGCGCTGGTTCACCGCGGGGCCCGGTGACGTGCGCCGCGGTCCGGCTCCCCGTTTGTGCGGTGGTAGGGACGGCCGGCCGTGCCGTGCGGAGGAGCCTGAGCTTCAAACGCAAGGAGTTGATCCCTAGAGGAGTTTTGGGGTGTGCGGGGCGGACAGCACGGTGTTCTGGTGGGTGTAGCCTTTGTGGGGTCCGGAGGGGAGGAACCTGATGGAACTTTCCTTGTGATGTGGCTGGCATGGAGGGGTGGATGGCACGGTCTTGGGCCGGAGACTTGGGTGGAGTGAGGACTCAGCTCCCCGTGCTGCCCGCCTCCAAGAGGACACTCGGCTTGGGGGGCACCCGTCTTACCTCCAGAACCTAAGATTTCAAAGCCCGCGGGCGGCCCAGTAAAGTACGGCAGCGGCGGGCAGCACCAGCACGGGACATGCAAGCGCGCGAGCTGCTGCGGAACATCCGGATCCCAGAGCTGGCTGACTTCCGACAGTACCTCCGCGCGCTGCCCACCCACTCGCTCCTGGCCTTCGGCAGCGCCTTCGCGGCTCTCACCGCCCTGTGTTATGTCATGAGGTCCAGGCGCCCCAAGCCACCGGCTGGCCTCTCCATGCAGTCGGTGGAGGTGGCGGGCACCGGCGGCGCCCGGAGATCCGCGCTCCTGGACAGCGACGAGCTCCTGGTGTACTTGTACGATGACGTCCGAACCCTGCACGAGAGCTTCCAGAGGGGCGTCCGCATATCCAAGGACCGCCCTTGTTTGGGCTTTCGGAAGACAGGCCAGCTCTACGAATGGCTTTCCTACCGGCAGGTGGCGGAGATGTCCGAGTGCGTGGGCTCCGCCCTGGTCCACAAGGGCTTCAAGGCCGCACCCGACCAGTACATCGGCATCTTCTCCCAGAACAGGCCCGAGTGGGTGGTCATTGAGTACGGATGCTTTGCTTACTCGATGGTGCCCGTTCCCCTCTACGACACCCTGGGTAGGGAAGCAGTCACTTACATAATCAACAGTGCTGAACTCGCCCTGGTCTTTGTGGACAAGCCAGAGAAGGCCAACCTGTTATTGGAAGGCGTAGAGAATACGTCCACCCCAGGCCTCAAAATCATAGTCGTCATGGACTCCTATGAGAGCGATCTGTTGGAACTCGGCAACAGGTGCGGGGTGGAGATCATCAGCATGAAGGCCATGGAGGACCTGGGAAGAGCCAACAGACAGAAGCCCAAGCCTCCGGCTCCTGAAGACCTTGCAGTAATTTGTTTCACAAGTGGAACCACAGGCCACCCCAAAGGGGCAATGCTCACTCATCGCAACATAGTGAGCAACTTCTCAGGGATTTTGAAAGTGACAGAGGAGGCCGTTGGCCTGAACGCCAGTGACACACTCATTTCCTTTTTACCGCTTGCACACATGTATGAGCAGCTCTTGGAGAGCGCGATCCTGTGCCAGGGGGCGAGAATAGGATTTTTCCAAGGAGATATCAAGCTGCTCATGGATGACCTCAAAATGCTTCAACCCACCATCTTTCCTGTGGTCCCGAGGCTGCTGACCCGCATGTTGGACAGAATTTGGGGAGAGGCAAACACCATTCCGAAACGGCTGCTACTGGACTTCGCCTCCAAGAGGAAACAAGCGGAGGTTCGCAGAGGCGTCATCAGAAACAACAGCCTGTGGGATATACTGATCTTCCGCAAAATACAGTCAAAGCTGGGAGGGAACGTCCGGCTGATGATCACCGGGGCTGCGCCCGTGTCAGCCAAGGTGCTGACGTTTATGCGAGCGGTGCTGGGCTGTCAGTTCTATGAAGGCTACGGAGAGACTGAGTGCACAGCCTGCTGCTCCATGACCATTCCCGGAGAGTGGACTGCAGGCCACGTGGGTGCCCCGGTGCCTTGCAATCTGATAAAACTCGTCGACGCGAAAGAGATTAACTATCTGGCTGCCAACGGCGAGGGCGAGGTGTGTGTGAAGGGAGCAAATGTATTTCAAGGCTACCTGAAGAACCCGGCGAAAACAAACGAAGCTCTGGACGGAGAGGGCTGGCTGCACACAGGGGACATCGGGAAATGGTTACCGAATGGGACCTTGGAGATCATCGACAGGAAGAAGCACATATTTAAACTGGCACAAGGAGAATACATAGCACCCGAAAAGATCGAGACTATCTACCAACGGAGCGAACCCGTCGCGCAGGTGTTCGTCCATGGAGACAGCCTGGAGGCATTTCTCATAGCCATCGTGGTCCCTGACGTGGAGACACTGGGCCGCTGGGCGAGGAAGCGAGGCCTGGTGGGATCCTTCGAGGAGCTGTGCCGCAGCAAGGAAGTCAATAAAGCCATCCTAGAAGACTTGGTGAGGCTGGGGGAGGAGTCTGGCCTGAACCCAATGGAGCAGGTCAAAGGCATCACTCTCCACCCTGAACCGTTCTCTGTCGAAAACGGCCTTCTGACCCCGACAATGAAGGCAAAGAGGCCAGAACTTCGGAGTTATTTCAAGTCACAGATAGAAGAGCTTTATTCCACCATCAAAGATTAAGGGAGGAGGAACGGTCAGAAGAAACCACACACCTCCACAATCTTCTTCTCCTGGTGGCTTTCACGTTGGCAATTTGACTACATGAGCATAGGGAATAAAGGGCACGCCTTGTTTGACGTGTGCATTGGATTCTTGTCATAGGAATATTAGAGGAAGCGGGGCTCTGCCTTGCAGTCACCTCCATGGCAGATCGTGGACCCACATGGTGATGCACCATTTCCAAAACGAGCCTTAACAATAGCCGAGGGAAACTATACCTGTGCTAAGTTATTTGTGACTTCCTTAGCTCAGAAGGTGGATGTGGAACTTCTATCTCCGTTTTTCTAACCAAGGGACTAGGACTTACTATTCCTGAATGTCTGCTGCTTGCTGCAATTTCTGCAGTTGATGGCTGCTCGAAAGAATATGTGCACTGGAAGGAAACTGTCCCTTACAAACAACCAGCCCAGCTGGAGAACTTCACAAGTGGACCAGAGATTTTTTTCTTTTCTCCTCCCTGTCAGCTCCCCTTCCCCACCCCTTCCCCACGCTCATGTCTCTTTGAATGAAGGCTTCTTAAACGCCTGCTCTTCCTCTCACTCCTTTATTGTTCCTTTTGGAGCCAAAGGTTCCCAGCAAAGTGCAGGACAGACCAACTCAGGACAATGTAGTTAACGAGTCTCATTCGCGGGCTGCTCCCAGGGTGAATGGATTCTGGTGCTCTTGGGACCTTCTCTCCAGACTCTCCCTCCCTCTGTCCCTGGGCTTAGGAGAAAATCTGCCTTACACTCGACAGTGAAGACAAGCATTTCAAGAAAGAAAGAATCAACTGTGAAGCCTAAGTAACCGTCCACTTTATCTCCACTGAATATCCCTCAGTTTGTAATGGCCAACGGCTTTTGAATGTGGTTTTCATATCAGAAGTTCCCATTGTGATTAACTGGCTTTCCCCCAGAATAAACTCTCAGGCAAGGTGCATCTCCAAGGCGATAAGGAAGTGCATAGATGTGGGTACTAATCGAAATGGATGCTAATAAACTTGCTCTCCTGCCATCATCCTTCCTGGCTCCTGTGAAATGTTTTGGCAAGCCACATTCTTGGGGGTGGAAGTCCAAACACTCATTTCCTAGGAGTCATTCCTCCCAGGATTTCTTTAAGTTAATTTGGGAAATTAGCAGCATTTCACGTACCGAAAACCTTTGCCACATGTGACTGGAGTAAGTTGTCATGATGCACTTGAAGCAGTCGCTTCTGGGTGTGAGTACACGTGCTATACAGCACAGGGGTTTGCATTCAAGTCATCATCAGAGCCTAACTGCGTGTGTGTGTGTGTGTGTGTGTGTGTGTGCGCATAAAAAGTCAATAACTTGCCACATTGGTGGTTTTGAATGTTTGCATTACTGTGTTGACTATTTCTGTTTTATAAGCCAAAACAGAATTTCCGAAAACATTGAAGGAAACCAAAATATTTCTGCATTTTAAAAAAAAGAAGGCCGAAACCGGTTTAGCTCAGGGGTAGAGCATCGGTCTGCGGACTGAAGGGTCCCAGGTTCGATTCCAGTCAGGGGCATGTACGTTGGTTGTGGGCACATCCCCAGTAGGGGGTGTGCAAGAGGCAGCTGGTCGATGTTTCTCTCTCATCGACGTTTCTAGCTCTCTATCTCTCTCCCTTCCTCTCTGTAAAGAAATCAATAAAATGTACTTAAAAAAAAAAAAAAAAAAGAAGGCGGCTCATGCACTAAAACTTCCATCTTTTAGTTGATGCCTAAAATTCCAGAGGGCCAATTCTTGAGTTTAAGGGTTTAGTTAGTAAAATATAGACTATCAGACTGTCAAGGGAGAATTTCTCTTTGGGATTGAATAACAACTACTATATTTTTATACTGTACTTATCTAAAAGTGAGAATACTGTATTTGCTCCAAATCCACTTTGGGTAAAGAGGGTAGGCAGAGAAGGTAGAAACAGGGAAACAGGACAGACCTGGTAAGTACACATAAAACAAAACCAGAACATTTTGTTATTAGCCTAGCATCAGACCACCTGTTGGTGGTAGATTAGCTCAATTTTCTCAGATTACAAATACGTACTGACAGTTTAATTTTGGTACTATTTGTTTTTTTATCTTTTTTAGTTAATGTTTGGGATTTTTTTTTCTGTTTTACATTAAAAGGCCATGATTGCAAGTGAATATCACAAATTAATTTTCAAATACTTTTCCTCATTTTCTATACCTACTCCTGTGATCTTAATTTCTATTTTCATGTATTTGCTTATGCTAATGTAAAAACATTCAAACATGTAAAGAACTTTTGTGAGTTTATTTGAGCCAAAATGTCCACAATTGCTGGGAAGCAGAATCTCAATGGATCGGAATAATGGCAGCTTATCGCCTTGTTTTGTACATTACAATCAAAGGAAGAGATGTAAGTGGGTTAGGTGAAATCCCTTGGTGATAGATTAGGGAGGCGGGAGAAAGCAAAGGGGTGGGGGCAATCTCTTGGATTGGATTAAAAAGTAAAATGATAGACACATACTTCTTTTACATAGATGGGTATAGGATAGTTAACAGTCAACAGTTAGCAATAATGAAGGAATTTATAGTCTCGAGTCCTGGCCGCCCAGGCATATTTGGTTGTGCCCTGAGTGGTCCTGAAAAAAGGAAGTTATACGTTACCCTGATATTTCACAAATATGTTCTTAGATACAAAAAGACAACAGGCTCAGTTAAGGTAAAGATTGACCTTAATCAGGGAAGATACTGGCCTAGGACATCTATATAATAAAAGCCCAGCAACCATTACAGTGGAATGGCTAGAACGACTGGTTGCTATGACAAGCTGGCCACAGGAGTTGCCACCAGCGCCACTGCCGAGCCCAAGGGCCCCCAGGGCCAGTTGCGCAGCCTCTGCCAAGGCCCTGGTAAAGAAAAATGTGAAGTTGCCGAAATTGGTTTGGCTCAGTGAATAGAGCATTGGCCTGCGGACTGAAAGGTCCCAGGTTCGATTCCGGTCAAAAGCATGTACCTTGGTTGTAGGCACATCCCCAGTGGGGGTGTGCAGGAGGCAGCTGATCAATGTTTCTCTCTCATTGATGTTTCTAACTCTCTATCCTTCTCCCTTCCTCTCTGTAAAAAAAAAAAAAAAAAAAAAAAAAAAAAAAATCAATAAAATATATATTGAAGGAAAAAAAAAAAAAAAGAATTGAAGTTGGCCAGCATGAGCATGCAGCTTGAGATGAAGGCTTTTTGGGACGGATTCAATCAGCTGGGGACCGAGATGATTGTCACCGAGGCTTGCAGGTCAGGGTGCCTTTCTCCCCTCCCCGCGAGGTGCCAGTCTCGGGCAGCAGGCTTTGGCTGGATCCACACGAGTAAGTGTGCGAAGTGGGATGTGGGGTACAGCCTGGCCATCTGCAGGTCCCTCTTGGTGCAGGCCAGCTCCTTTGCCCTCTGAGTCCCAGCTCTAGCAACAGCCGCCTGGCACACTGGGTAGGAGGGGGGCCAGGTGGTGGAAAGAAACCCTGTGGACCTGCAACCCAACCAGCAGCCCAAGACCTGGCACTGCCAGAAACAGACAGGCTCAGAGCACACCGAGCTTGTGGGGAAGGCAGCTGCCTGTGAGAGGCCTTGTCACCAGCAGGCTCCCTGTGGATCCCACCTCAAAAGAAACTCGGTCTTTGGGTTACTTTAGTTCAGTCTTTCCTGGCTAAAGAGGAGCAGCAGTACACATTTTAGGGGAGAATTAAGACTCTAAAATAGTGTGTTCTGTTCCATGGAGATTGCTACCCAGTTGTTTTAGGCCTAAATTCCCAGTGATTGTGGGGCCTGGCTCTGTCACTGGGGCCCGAGTCTTCCAATTGGCCTGTATTTGCTGTAAGGGCCCAAAGAGGAGAACGGGAAAATCACCAAATAACCGTGGCTTAAAAAAAGACAAGTGTTTTTCTCACGTGGAACAGGCCTAGAACTAGTCTAAGACTTGATATGGCAGCTCCACCAGTTGTCTGGGACCCATGCTTTTTTTCTTTCTCGTGCTTCTGCCATCACTAAAGTGGCACAAACTTGCTGCTTGCAAACCAGATAGCACACACTACTTTTCAGGGTGTAAAATGAAGTTAAAGAATGCAAGGGAAGACCTCGCCAGTTTGGCTCAGTGGATAGAGCATCAGCCCACAGACTGAAGGGTCCCGTTGGCGGTGCCAGGTCTGGGCTGCTGGTTGGGTGGCAGGTCCACAGGGTTCCACTCCGGTAAAAGGCAGGTTCCCCTGACCTGATCAAGGTGCATGCAGGACGCAACCAGTGGATGTGTTTTTATGTTTCTCTCACATTGATGCTTCTGTCTCTCCCTCTCCCTTCCACTTTTTCTAAACATCAATGGACTTAGGTAAGGATTAACCAAAAGAAGAAGAGGGAGAAAGAGGAGGTGAGGGGGGAGGAGGAAAAGGAGGAGAAAGGTGGGAAGGAAGAGGGGAGAGGGGGAGGGGAGAGGAAAGGGTGAGAGGGGAAGGAAGGAGGAGGAGGAAGCAAGGGAAGACATCCTAGCTTTTAAGATGTTCCTTAAGAACTACACAACACTCAATTTATATATAATTGCCCAAAATTTAGCCACATCTGGCTGCAAGGGAAACAATGAAAGGAGCTATTTAGCTGAGTGGCAGGGTGCCCACTGAAAAATCTGTGTTTTGTAAGGGTGGAAAAAGGTTTTCTTTTATGAATGTAGAAAAGAATACATTTAGTGAGGCACTCATCCTTTCTCACTTCCAACAATATCCATCTACTTCTTCAATCCCTTTCCATTCCCCCTCAAACTTTCTAGCTCTCCATCCTTCATCCTAAAAGAAATCCAAAAGCTTCTGTTGATTTAGGATCAGGGGTCCTCAAACTTTTTAAAGTGGGGGCCAGATCACGGTCCCTCAGAGAGCTGGAGGGCCGGACTATATGAACTACTACTAATTCCTACTGTAACACCTCGGCTGTGCTCACTGCCCAAAAAACCTGGCAGGCCGGATCAGACTCCTCTGCGGGCCGCATGTGGCCCGCGGGCCGTAGTTTGAAGACGCCTGAAATTTTAGGTCCTTCTCTCCCCTTCACTGCAAGACATTTTTTGTCACTCTCCTTACAATTTCTATAACATTTCTTCTTTTCTGCTTATTTCCAGTCCCTAGTCACCATCTCCCCTTTAGGTTATATATCTTCCTAACTAGTCTGAGTTCCTAGGAAATTTAACAAACATCTTTACCGCAACCAATCCTTTGAATTTAAATTTTATTTTATTTATATTTAACTTCACAAATACAAGATTTTTTTTTAAGTGTACGTAATGCAAACCTCTCTCTCGGCCACACCCCAGGCTACATTAAAACTTTAGAATTTGCCGAATGCATTGAGAAGGGGACACGGGGACGAAGGCCTCTGTCACGGCGAGTGTCACCGCGCCCACAACGTGCCCTCGCTGCGGAAGGATGGGACTCGCGGAGAAACGCCCAAACCCGGCCCCCGGGAATCCCGCGGAATCTCGGCACCGCCGGAACTCCGCAGGCGGGCGGAGGTTAGGGAAGAGGCTCTCGCGAGATGCGCAATTCTCGCGGGAACCGAGAGCGAGACCGTTCTCTGACGCACTTCCGGGGCTCCGGAACCGAGACCGGCCAGGTGGCTGCCAGCCGGAGAGATGGTGGTCACCAGGTCGGCGCGGCCTCGGGCCGGGATCCAAGCTACGTCGCCCGAACGCTCCAGGCGGAAGGTAGGAAATAGCGAGGCTCCCTCAAGTCTGCTCGCCGCTTCGCAGAGTGGCTCCCAGTGAGGGGCAGGGGGCGGCGTCAGTGTCCCGCGCAGTGTGTGTGGGGGACGGGGGACCGAGGGGCTGGAGCATCCGGACGGGCCTGCCGCGCGTAGCTGCGCCCCGGCCGCCGCTGAGCTTGTCACTTCCTTGGCTGTCTTTAAGGCGGCCCTTAGTGTGGAACCGAGAGGTTAGTTAACTTGCTTCGGGTAGCTCAGCTCCAATGCACATGAACAGCTCAGACGTTTTAACTTTACTGGTAACACCGTACTAAGGATTTATTT